AAGAAGTTGGTGAAGATAGTAAATGCAATAATTACTTTAAAAATCACTATTAAGGCTTTAGTTCTTCTAACAAGCAACAGACTCAGTAAAAACTCAGTAACTAAATCTACCTGCTAAAAAAGAGCAGGTCTGAAGCTCTTGAACCTCAGTAGCATGAAGGTACTGCTATATTTTAGATCTTGAATGTCCCCCAAAGGCCCATGTGATGAGGACTTGGTCCCCAGCCCATGGCACTACAAGGAGGTTGTGAAACTTTTAGGTGGTAAAAACCTCTGGGCCTTTCTGTCTGTGTTTAGTCACAACAAGGTAAACAGGCAGGTTTCCTCCACAATGCACTCTCACCATGATGTTCTGTCTTGCCTCAGGAATAAAGACAATGAGGCCAAATTACCATGGACTGAAACTTCTGAAACCATGAGCCAACATAAGCCACTCTTTTTTAAGTTGAATATCTCACTACCATTGTCATAGTAATGGAAAGCAGACTAATGCAGAAACCAAGTTCAGATTTTCTGGCAAACGGTCGCATACACGCAGTATGAGCCAAGCACACCCCGAAGAGCCAACATGGCTCTGTCTCCCATTACAATCCCTGAGTCCACCCCAACCCTGACCTAGCAGCCCTCAGCCCAGGGGAAAACACTCACATAAAATCGCAGCAGAGCCCCATCTGAATTACAGCACCAGGACCTCCTACCCAAGTATTCATGGGCTGTGTTGAGCAGCATGAGGGAGGACGGAAGCATAGGTGTTTCTGACATTCCTGGGGAAAGGCCAGACCAAAAGACACAGAATTAGCTTAGCAGAACACATGTACCTCTATGAGGGCTACAAGGCTCAGTCTCTTCTTTTTGGGCTTTGCTTTAGCATTGTAGCCAAATCTTTGTCTTTTCTTCCTTCTTTCTGTTTTTAAATAATGGCTTTAGTAAAATATGAGTGTTAAAAACCAATTTAAAGGGCTGGCCTGAGAGCTCAGCAGACTATGCAGTGGGTTTAATCCCTAGCATCCCCTGCCAGCCCTGCCTCCAGGGCACGCTGAGACTGCAACTGAGACTGGGCGTGGTGGCACACGCCTATAATCCCAGTGCTTTGGAGGCTGAAAAGAGGAGAATCACCATGAGTCTGATCTACGTAGTGAGACCTGCACCCAACAGAAAGTTCAAAACATTCATTTTTAATGGGTCCTTCAGTTTCTATCTTTAAAGACATCAAATGACTATTAAACAAAATCACTGAGTACGTTTGTAGAACTTCCTCCTTACCTCTCAGTTTTGTTGAATACATTATTTGTCAAGACTCCAGATTTGTAACATTTCTATTCTTTTCTGTAACCATACTTAGCCTGAATGCTTTCTCTCTAACTCCAATTTGAAATGGACTTGGTGTTCATAACTCTCCTCCCATCGCTTTGCCATTCTCATGCTGGTTTACTGACTTCATATTCCAAAAGCATTTTTAAGAACTGCTCGTGGAAGCTACAGTTCTTTTTTGTAAATGTCTCCTACTACCACAGTTACAATTTAGTAGACAACTGAGGCCACTTTCTTTCCTTGAGAACTAGATAGACTTAAAGATATCACCCCAACTGCATGAAATGCTGCTAAGGAGAAATCTGAAACGAGTCTCATTTTTTTTGTCACATAAAGGCAGATAAATTGCTTGTTCAATTTATTGGTTTTCATTTCTTTTACTTTACTTGGTACTAGGAATTGAACTCACAACCTTGCACTTGCCAGGCAGGCACTGTGCTGCTGAGCTATATCCTTGGCCCCCGTTTGTTAATTTAGAAACCTAAATGATCTTCACCCTTGAAGTAGATGCTTAACCAGGCTCTTTGCAGACTGGTGCATGTCAATTCCGTTTTGTATCTGCTATCTATATGGCATCTGCAGGTTCACTTTTTGCTACTGCTGTGTATCTGACACGGGGATAGTTACTCCTCCTCACTGCTGGAGTCCTTCCATCATGGGCACCACCTGTCCCTATAGGACCATCTCTGTCCTCCAACTCTGTCCTCCAATGCTTTGAGATTTTAATTGTGTCTGCTCATTTCTGTTTCAGTCATATTTATTCTGTTCCTTGTTGTTTGAGTTTATAAGTTTATAATAATCAAATCTGGCTTACAGGGTTTTCTCTAAGTTATACAACCTTGCTTTTAATTTCACCCTGTTTATTCACTCAAATTTTTAAGTAAGTTAGTTTCTTATGTGAACCATTTCTAGGAACTCTACTGTCTTCCTTAGTATTTGTTTCCTTCCAGGCTGAATTCAGCAGTGGTTTTTGTTGTTTCATCTTGGATTGTAGTCAATTTCTTCTTTTTGTCACCCTCAGCCCCCACCCCCCACTGTTTGTTTGTTTGGTACCAGGGATCAAACTCAAGACCTTGCACTTGCAGGCAGGCACTTACACCACTGAGCTATCTTCCCAGCAACTCCACCATGAGCTCCGGTGGTTTTGTTCCATCTTCTGTAGACCCCCAACCCCACACACATGCAATGCTTGTTCAATTTATTGGTTGAACTGGTTGGAGCTGCCTCCAGATGTCAGCTCCTTAATGTCTACTGTGCTACAGAACTCACCTCACCTGAGGCCAGCACGATCTGGGGAAGTCCACATCCAGTGACTGAGTGAGACAGGAGTATAAAGTCCAACGTGGGAGGAAAACTGCTCACTGCAAGCTCCCTGCCAGATGGCCAAGGCTTTGCCAGGCCAACATCACAGTTCAGCTCTTCTCTGCCTAATCCTGCTACCTCTTAATCTTTTTGTTAGTATCAATCCCTAACAAATCATGTATTCAAATCTACCTCCAGAGAGCTCTATGTGTGACAATGCCCTCACCAAGCCTCTCAGCACCCAACCAGAAGTGTTTTTATTCCTGAATTTATCCCTCACATCAGTCTGGTCTTGGAAGTACCCAGAAGCCCTTCTTGCTTCTGCTAAGGGTCAAGACAATTGAGGGAGCTGCTCTATTGGTCTGCTCTGTACAGATGAGAGGACATTTCCAAGGACTCGGTCAAAGTACAGTACTGTTTTATATCAGTTTGTCTAAAGGGGGACAAGAAAAAACAGAGGCACACCTGCTGCCAGTTCACCAGAATCTTTTCTTTCTTTTTGATGTACTTTTCAAAGTTGAAGGCATTTGGCCATTCCTTTTTCCTTCTTTCCTGGATATTTTTATACCAATTTTGAGGGAAAGGAGAAGCAAGAAAAATAATAATATAGTTGTAAATCTTCTATGCTTTTCACTATGAAAATCTTTCTGAGACACAATGAGATACTGTTTGTCAAGAGCTCCAAAAATGTTCATTCTCAAAAATTCATGCTAAAAAAAAAAAACCAACTGAGCAGAAACGAAAGGATCTACATGAGCTGTTATCATAACACGACCTGTAAGAAAGCCATACTGGGAAGATAGCTCAGTAGAATAAGCACTTGCCTGCAAGCCCAAGGTCCTAAGTTCAATCCCCAGTACAGAAAAAAAAAAAAAAAAAAAAAAAAAAAAAGGAAAGTCATACTGAAATCCTCCTAAGGACTCAGCAAGTAGTCAGCTCAGTACAGGATGCGCCTTATTTCAGTATTATAAAGAAAAGCCTATGGAGCAAAGCAGGAGCCACTGCACACTTTCTGCAACCAGCCTAGATCCAATCCCCGGGCCCAGATCTCCTGATGGACCTGAAACTCTCTGGGTGCCTCCTTGCCCACAAGGCTCCATCTCCCCCTCAGGCTTTGCTGCTGCTCCTCCCTCGGTCCTCGGCCCAACCACCTCCCCACGGGGCGGCCGCAGGTGCCTCCTCTCAGTCAGTCTCACTGGCCTGGCACTGTTAGATATCGCATCTGTATCCTCCCACCGTGACCCTGACAAGGCCAAAAGGGTTTTATTAAGAGGCTTAATGTGTAGTGGGCAACTAAGAAATATCTAAGGGGTCAACAAAATTAAAGAGACAACAAGTAGAAGACAAATCACACGCTCCTCTGGGCAGCTAGAATGCCTTTCTTTTCTACTTCTTTTATTTTACAAACTACATACTATGGAAAATTCCCCAATAAATGTATCTGTGAGTTAGCTAAATAAATGTACAAATATGCCTATTAATACAACTCTACAATAGTCTGCAGGCTTATAGGCAATGCTTGCTTTCAGTGTTTGTTGTTATGACATAGTTCCTTCAATTGCACACATTTTCCACCACTGTCCCACCATAGTTCAAGTACCATCTCCACCAAGGGCCCCAGGCTCACCCCCCAGCCCCCTACCCCCTCAGTCCCCCCCTTCTCAGTTCCTAATATCTGCTCATCACTTGGCACCCACCATACGACAGGCAATGATTTGCCACTGTGCTTCATGACTCAGTTACTTCATTTTGTCCTTGGAACAACCACTGAGGAAGGTACCTTTTATTTCCAGTATGGACGTGGAAAAAAAAGACACTGACTGTGTGAACTAACAAGTGACAGCTGGAATGTGGAGCCTGTGTTTGCTTCACTCTGCCCTGGGTTTCCTGTGTCTCGGGGGTGCCATGGGGATTGGAGGAGTCGCACACCAGGCACTTTAAAGCACCCCCAACATGCTCACCTTGCCATCACTCCCTCCAGGCTGCTACCAGCACCAGACACACATGTCACATGTCCACACCTGTGCCACTGCACAGTGAGCACACTGAGGGAAGAAACAGAACACTTCTGCTTCCACCAAGCATCAGTGAAATCCTGTCATAGTGAGCCCCAGGCTGCTTTCAGTACCTGAGCAGTGTCTCAAGCCTTAGGACAGAGGCCAGGGGCAAGAACTTGAATCAGCCCACCCCCAGCAGGCCTGTTACCAGCACACCTTCCTCTGCTGGGCTCTGGAGCTGCTGCTTGTGGCACAGGGATCGGAAGGTGTCCTCCTCCTGCCAGATGATCCTGTGCAGGATGATCCAGGGCAGCACTGAGGAGACATGGGGCTCTTTAGGCTCCTCCTGCACAGCCATGCTGCAGTCGATGACCTGGCAGGGAATACGGGGTGTCAGAGTGGGGCAAGCTCTGCCCCTTGCCCTCCCGAGATGAGCCCCCATGGCAGTGTCCCCTGGGAGAGCTGGGGCATGCTGACTGCCCATCCCATTGCTCTGATGTGGGAATATTGACCTAGCAGCACCCCAGCTTATTTTCAGACAGAGCCCCACAGTGCCCAATGACAGAATCACACATCAGGGCCAGGGATACAGCTTAGCGACACTGCACCTGCCTGGCAAGTACAAGGTCCTAACTTCAATTCCAGGTATAAATACAATAAACCAGAATCATACATCACCTTCCCTCATGCCTACACAGTTACTAACTATAACAGAACATCCTGGGAAAAGAAAGCACTTAGGCAAACTACATGTGAACACAGGAACAGGGAGTCACAGTGGAGGAGGGGCAGACAGAGCTGAACTCCTAGAAGAGGTTTCCGGGTGAGTGCCTGTGCTTCACCCAACACCCAAATGGGACGGATGTAAGGAAAGAGAAGCCCAGAGGCAGGGGAACCCACAATGGCTGTGGCCATGGAAGTAGATATGGAGGAGAGAGGCAAGCGGCAGCAGTGCACCTTGGGCATACACCACTCAAGGGAATGTGCAAGATTTTAAGAAAGAAAAGAACACAATTCCTCTTTCAGTTCTGAAAAAGCGTCTCTGCAGCAGGTTGGCAGCTAGGCGGGAAGGGTAGATGGGCAGGAAGGAATACAAGGTGCATGCTCTCACAGTTCATGCAGGAAGACAGGAGTGGCCTGACTGTGGCAGGACAAGGAAGACAGAAGGGAGAAATAAAAGTTAAGATGCAAAGAAAGTGGGTTTGGCAGGCTGCTGATGGCCTGCGTGGAAGCTAGAGAGAGAGGTGGGGGTGGCTCCAGAGATGGTTCTCTGCCTAGAGCTTACCTGGACGGCACAGGGTGCTGTGACTACCCTCAGCTTTAAGTACCAGGGTGGCCTAGGTGATGGAGAGCCCTGGCAGAGTCAGTAGGCCTGGGCTGAGCCCCCATGCTGGCTGTGGCTCCCCTCTAAGCCTGCTTCCTCTCCTCTCGGATGAGTGGTCTTGGATGACTCTGTCATACCGTATGTAACATTATCTTTAAACCCCAGGTCCAACCAGCTCCAGGAAGGTCTAGAGCCACTTCTTCAGGCCCCAACAGTTCTAGCCAGAGAAGCCAATGTATCCCCTTTGGGCTGCCTAACTCACAGCAAAAGCCAGGGAACCACTAAAGAAGAAAGAATTCCAGCCACACACGTGTTGGGGCGGGGTGGGGGTGGGGGGGTAAGGAGCCACATTACCTGGATGAGGTTGTTGGTAAGCCGGACAAGGCCAGTGGTAGAGGACGATTCCTTCAAGATGCTGCCACTGCTGTCTGCAGAGAGTGCCTGCTCAATACCCAGCAGCAGCTGGGTCACTGTGGCCACCCATTCCTCCTTGGCTGCAGCCTCACTTGAGTTCACCATCTGCTGGACAGCCTCATTCAGAGATATCTCAGAGCATTCAAAACACTGCTGGTGGTCCTTCAACCGGAGCAAGGAGTCCTGAGTACAAGAAGAAGCAAGCAGAAAGGTACACTCAACTCTGCACACACAAGTGTCAGATCTGAGATGTGGACACTGGGGTAAAGAGGGAACAGGGGATGGATAGATAGCTAGCTAGATAGACAGACAGACAGACAGACAGACAGACAGACAGACAGACAGATAGATTGACAGACAGACAGATACATAGATTGATAGACAGACAGATACATAGATAGATTGATAGACAGACAGATACATAGATAGATAGATTGACTGATAGATATAGATAGACAGACAGACAGACACAGATAGAAAGAAAAAAAGGCTCCCTTGTGCAGCCTAGACCCATACAGCCTTGCAGCATCCTGAGCAGCAGATGCTCACCTATGTGTAAGGCAGCATGGCATGCCTTCCAGGGGCTCTTAGAAAGGCATTTTACCTCTGCACATAGCTTCCCCATTTATAAGCTTAGACCCTGGGAAAGGGACCACAGAGCCAGCAAGCAGCCAATTTGAGACTGTGGGACTTTAACATCTATCAGCTATCCCCCAAATTACCACATCCCTCGAGTGCCAGGGCTGTGGAGGGAGCTGTGGAGCAGGACAGGGGCACAATGCCAGGAAGAAATTATCTCCGCAGAGGAAGGTCTGAAGCAAGGCCACAGCAAGGACAATTGTCCAGGCGGCACTAAAGTCATCATCTATGAGCCATCTCCTCCCCATGCAAAGGTGGGGCCTGCTCAGCGTTAGCTGCACATCACCCCCTCAGGAAAAACAGGAATATCAACGAGCTGGTATATGTATCACACTCAGCACCAGGCTGGGCACATGAAGAGCTCTGAGAATACCACAGAGCGGTTACTTCTAGTTTAGAATCTGCTCTTTGGAAGCCACCACTTTTTGTAATGTGTGTGTGTGGGGGGGGGACAGAATACAAGACTACATTCCATTTAAACACCTGGGATCTCACTTTCATAACCAGCTGTGCATAGGGAAACATAGCCTGTCTAAATTCACAGATCTAGTGGACGGCTTGTTGGATCAGCAGGAAGCACCTGCTGCCTGGTGTCCCACTGGGTTCTGACCTCCCTAGAGCCCAGACACAGCAGTAGCTCCTGCCTAGTTTGACATGTGCAGCTGCCATTCTCTGAGATGACACTAACAGGTGCAGAAGCAGAAATATCCTGCCTTTAGAAAGTGTTGCAGTGCCTGAAAACAGATCAAAACCTCCCCCAATTTATCAGCCCTAATTACCAGGAAAATGGAGCCTGTTTTTTAAGAAGCAGCCAGCACCCTTGAGCAAGAGGTCACCGAGACAGGAGCTGCCTACAAAGTGTAGCTGTGGGATCCAAATCTGAGCTGATCCCTCCTGGTCAAAGCACTAAATACATAAAGGCAAATAAAGACTACTGGCCTTAAGCTGCAAAAGTACTGCTGCGAAAATCAGACACAAGACAAGGATCTGCCAGCAGTATTCTGATATAATAACAACCCCCAGGGCTCTAAGCCAGAAAGACTAAAAACCAGAAGAATGGCTGCCAGCCAAAGTGGAGACCAAATTACCACTGACTGTGGGCAGCACGATCATCTACCCAAACAAGAAGAAAATGATCATAGATAATGGGAGGTAAGTAAAGCAGCTGGATTCAAAATAAACAGGCAAAAGCCAACAGGGTTCCTATAAGCCAGCAACATATAGTTAGAAAATATAATGACAAAAAAAAAAAAAAAAGATGCACTCAAAATAGCATCCCTGGGGCCAGGGAGATGGCTCAGTGGAATAAGCGCTTTCCTGGCAAGCGCAAGGGCCTAAGTTCAATCCCTGGTTCCACCAAAAAAAAAAAAAAAAAATAGTATACCAAAAATACTGAGACCTAAGAATCAGTTCAATAAGAAGAAAGCCACACAGTTATACTGAGAATATATAAGACAACTTGTCTAAATTAGGAGACAGCTTTCACATACCTAGAAGAGAGGATTTCAAATCTGATACCCCTAACTCCACTCCAGAGGCAAAAGAGAAAACAAGATAAATGCAAAACATAAATGCTGCTAGAAGAAAACAAGGTCAAATGTGCTTTTTGTCTCTGCTTTGGTGTCTCCTGCCTGCCTCCCCTACAAAATGGGATTCATCAGCGTGGCCTTCCTTCTCTTCCATGCCAATCACCCTGGGGGAGCTCAAGACTGTACTTACATACAGTAAGTACCCGAGTATTTTTCCGGCTGTCTGGGCATAAAAAGCAAAACCACAATGAACAAAACCATAACCACATGGAACCATTAAAAGATTTCCCAACATAAATTTCAGGGCAGAAGATGCACATCAGTGGTAGAGTGTATACTTTGCAAAAACAAGCTCTGGATTTGATCCCCAGCACTGGGAGAAAAAAAGAACTTGTTTTTTGCTTATAAAAACAAAGAGATTAAAGAATAAATAAAACCCACAATTTTAGAGCAGACACAGCTGGGGAGATAGCTCAGCAACTTAAGTGTCTGCCTAGCAAGCGCAAGGTCCTTAGTTTGATCCCTGGTGCCAAAAAAAACCAAAAAAAAAAAGAACAGATACCATACTGGCAAAAAAATATTTGCAAGATCTGATGAGAAAGAGTAGTAGCTGTAACATATGAAAAGTACTCTGGGGCCAGGCATGGTAGCACACAACTGTAATCCCAGCATTTCAGAGGCTGAGGCAGGAGGATCACTGCGTGTTCAAGGCCAGCCTGGGCTACAAAGTGAGTTCAAGGCCAGCCTGAACTGCATAATGAAACCCTGTTTCAAAACAAAATTTTTTTTTAAAAGTACTCTGATGGACAGGAAAAGACCTGCTATGGTTTGTGTCTGGATGTTCCCCCAAAGCCTCATGTGATGGGGGAGGGCAAAAGAGGGATCTTTGGAGGTGGCTGGATCTAGAGTCTGTGATTGGTTCTTGGTCTACTGCTGGGATTGGCACTGTGAGTGCTATACCACCACAGGTTGAGTGGCCTACACTCAATATAAGGGAAGGAAAGAGGTGTGCCCATACCATTTTTGCTCTTGTTGCTTCTGCTGTCTTCTACCGCCAAGAATGGTTGCCCGTGGCCAGACAGCTCAGCGGACTAAAGCAGGCACAGTGACCAGGTTGGATCCCCGGCATGCCATGCTGGTCCTGCCCCTGGGGCAAGCTGAGACAGCAAATGAGTCTGGTGGTGCGCACCTGTAATCCCAGCACTTGAGAGGCTGAAAACAGGAAAATCGCTACAAGTCCGATCTGTGTAATAAGACCCTGTAGACCCTGTACTAAAAATACAAAAAAAGGAAAAAAAAAAAAAGAATGGTTGCCCCTTAACCACACCACCCTGCCTTACAGCCAGCTGATTATCGACTGAAATCTCCACAGACTGTGGAGATAAGCCTTTCCCTTTTAAACTTTGGGTGTTGAGTGTTTTGGCTCAGTAACAATAGAAAAGTAACTAAGACAACACCCAAGTGGAAATACTGAACTGAGAATAACTTACAAAAACTGGAAGCTTCCACAACACATGGCCCAGGCCTTTATTGCAGTTTGGTGCCCATCCAAACAGCAGCTCCTTCCTCATCAATGGAGCTTCCTGCTATATCTAGTAATTAATGACATCTACAGGGCAAGATGATGTCTGACATTGGGGCCACAGAGACAGCAAGGACTGACATTGGGGCCACAGAGATAGCAAGGACTGAGCCCTCTCCTGCTCTTCCCTAACCACAAATATACCCGACCCAGGTATATTTGTATATATACACAGCAGTCCTTCCCTACCACTATCAGTCCAGAGTCTGACAAGGTAACTGCGGTCAAATACAATTCATGCCCTGATCTCCTGTCTGACCCACTTAGCTAGAGCTGGTGCTTGGATAGTGTTCTTTATCTTCAACTATGTTGTTGTACATCGGGGTGTGTGTGTGTGTGTGTGTGTGTGTGTGTGTGTGTGTGTTACAGGGGACTGAACCCAATGCCTTCATAATGAGCTACAACCCCATCTCTTTTGTTTTTGGTGAGAGGTTACTTTATCTTTTAAGACAAACAGCCTCACAACTTAAATTGATAAACTGCCCAGACTAGGCCTGACTTTGCAACCATCCTGCCCAGCCCCTTGAAGCACTGGGATTACTACAGGTGTGTGCCTCTACACACTTTTATTTTATCTTGATTTCCCTCACTGCTCATATTTTTCATCTACTTGCTAGGTATCAAAAATCCATATAAAAATAAATAAAAATTTAAAAATAAAATGCAAAAATCAACAAAAACAAAGATGAACAGATAAGTAGGTGAATGGGTAACACCTTAATGTTCCTCTTTCCTTCTCTGCCACACAGCAGTGCAGAGTCAAGGGTGGGACTCATCTTGAGCTGCATGAAACCCCAGAACCTGCACTGGCAGGACTCATCTGAACAGTGACCAGATGGTCTATCTGGAATCTTTCTGGAGGCAGGGCTGCTGATGTAGACTTCTACAGTCTAAGGGCTACTTCCACAGCCTCTACAGAGCACACACAGGAGAAGCTACAAAGGTACAAGCAGAAATAGGGCACAGAGACTAGGGGACACATACCTGCAGCAGAAGCAGCTGAGCCGGCCTCTCAGGAATGGAAGTCATAAACTCTAGGTGCTTGGCCTGGTCAAACCCACTGGTGCACAAAGTGGGGCGGAGCAGATGCACAACAGCTTTGTAGTCACCTGCCTCGTACAGCCGCTGAATCTCCTCCAAGGACTGGCAGCGTTCTAGTGACTTCAGATTCTTATCAATCTGCAAAGGTCCAGAAATGCTGTCTGAGAACAAACCCCTTGTACCCTCCTAAACCTGTCTAATGTTCGCATTTATTTCATACAGACAAAGAAGACAAAATCAGGCTCCCCCCACCCACCAGCCCAAAACCACTAAGAGTCCCCTTACTATATTAGCATTCACTAAAATGTCTATGCTTTTTAGTGTTTATATTAAGGTCAAGACATTTAATTCTTTCAAAAAAACAAACACCCAAACCTAAAAACCACTGCAGGGCTGGTGAGATGGCTCAGTGGTCTAAGGCACCTACTTAGAACAAGCTGCAACAAAGCATACGGACCGCGGTTCAATCCCCCAGCACCACATGCCAGCCAGCCCGGCCCCCTGGTGGGCTGAGCTGGCCACACACAAATAAATAAAATTTAAAAAAAAAAAAAAAAAAAACCACTGCAGAAGCAGAGGGGTTCCAGAACAATTTCTGCTAAATAGAGGGATAACCTCACAGTTACAGGTCAGCAAACCAGCAAACCAGCTTTAAGAGCTCGAAAGACTGGGGCCAGACCAAGCACATGTTACTGACCCACAGCAGCTGTCCTCACACCTGGCACTGAGCACACACACACACAGCAGGGCCCTGTACCTGGACTTGCCCTGAAACAAACCTGAAAAGAGACTGAAGGCTTCTGTCAGCCAACAGAGATGCAGCACAGATGTGGCACTGTGGCAGGGCTGAGGCTGCACAACGAGGACAGTATAACGGGAGGAAGCCTGGCATATGCACGGAGCATGGCTGTTACAGCCCTGTGGCCAGACTGACACTGGCCTGCACCAGTTAACATTTCCCTCCAGTTTTCTGAGGGCTGCTACCACATAAAACCGAAAGAGATGAACAAGAGCCACGCTACCAGAAGCTTCCAAGCCTGCCACTTGGACAAGGGAAGTCTGGGGACCTAGTGTGACACAGTGGACATTCCTAAACTTCTCCTGCCTTCCCTGCAGGAGCCCTGCTCAGCACACAAGCAGCTCTCACTCCTCAGTTGTAGGTCAGGCCTGGTATAACCGGGCCAATTCAGAATAAATCTTTAACCAAGAAAATAGCATTAAAAATTCCCACCCACCTCCTCAAGGGACACAATGGAGTCATTGCAGAGGTTGGGCAGTCGGATGATAATATCCTTTTGCGTGGCCCCTGTTTCTGTCTGGATCGTGGTAGAGCTCTGGAGCATTTCGGTACAGATGTCATAGTTCTCCAGGGCCTGCTCCATGTCTCCCTAATCAGAAGAAATACAAAGTCAGTACTGGGGCCGGAGAGATGGCTCGGTGGAGTAAGTGCTTCCCTGGCAAGCGCAAGGGCCTGAGTTCAATTCCCAGTTCTGCCAAAAAAAAAAAGTCAGTATTATATGCGATAGAGATGAACTAAGATTAAGATAAGAATGACAAGGGGGAACGGGAAACTAGAGGAGGAGGGAGGGAGCAGGCAGCAAAAGGAATTAAGAAAAGAAACAAGCTGTATTGGGTACATGTACCTACTCCCTAAGAACACTGTAAAATGCATATACTCCAAACATGTACTAATAACTTTGTTTTTGAGACAGTGTTTCTCTTTGAGCCTCTTTTTGAGACAGTGTTTCACTTTGTGGTTCAAGCTGGCCTTGAACTCACAGTGAACCCCTGCCTCAGCCTTCCAAGGGTTACAGGTGTGTGCCACCATGCCCAGCAAATTTTAAAAAAAGAATTAAGAGATAGTGGAAAAAAAAAAAAAAAAAAGAGCAAAAGAAATGAAGGAAGAAAGACAGAAAGGAGGGAGAGAGGGAAAGAGAGAGAGAGAGAAAGACTAAAGGGCAAAAACCAGGATACTAACTGGATTGTGCCAAGATCCCTGTTTTTGATCTCACTAAATTTGAGTGCCCAGAGGGCAGAGCTTTAATTTAATTATTTCTATATCCTTCCCCCAAAAGGGCAAGGCCCATCACTGCAGCTTAACAACTATTTACCATGCACAGGTAGGTTCTATGCATGCACACATGCACTCACACAGGTTCTCAGTATGACCAATTTTCTCTACTCCTTGTCAAGTACCGAGGTACGCTCCCCAAGCTGCTGACAATGAAACCAACCTGCAGTGCCAAGAAACGAGCCTTCAGCCAGTAAACACGGACCACAAATTCCAGCCAGCCATCCTCAAACAGGTCACGCTGGGATGAGGCAAATGACAGCTGCAGGAGGTCACCCAGGCAGTGGGTTCCTGGGAAGTCGGGACCAAACCTGCCATTCGCCACACCAGTAGGGCAGTTCCGCGGAGACACTGAAAATCATCGGGCCAACAAGTTACCCTTCTGTGCAGCATCAAAATGCCCTTCTGCTCCCCAGGTTACTCTCAGCCCTCACCACATTGGCCCTCAACCTCCACAGATACCCTGAGCTCCTTGGAGCCTTATAGCCCTTGAACAGCAAGCCACAGAGATCAGACCAATCAGGCAGAGAGGCAGAGAACCTGGGGGAAGGAGGGGAACAATTTCACAGACTAAGTTTTGAGCACATCTGCATTCTGCCAGGACGTAGTGGAAAAGTCATCCAGAAAACTTACTGAGGATACATAAACCATCCAGTAGTCACTCCAAAACTGAGATCGAGTTTCCTTTACTCCTGAGTGACAGCAAAAGCAGGCAAGTGGCTCCCGCTAGGGAATCAGCTACTGTTAACCACTTCTTGAGTATCCAGATTTCTCTGGGACCCTGAACTTGTCTGGAATCCTAAAAATCCAACTCAGGAAATACACCTGCTATAGAAGTTAAGTCCAAAGTCCATGCATGACTCAGTGTCCCTGATGTAGCTGCCCCAGCCTGACAGGGTTCAGAACATTACCTCATCACAGAACACATAGCTGCCTACCTGCAGAGCTTCTGCCTTTGGTTAGCAGCCACTGGTCCAGCTGGAGCTCCATGCAGGAGAGAGACATCAGCATCATGTCCTGTACGATAGGCATGGGAAAGTCAGACACACAGTAAGAGATGTGCTAAAGCAGTGGGGGAGGAAGGAGACACTAAAACATACTTTTTAATAAAATGTAATTCTTCCTTCTATCTACTTTTCATGTCCTAAGTGATAATATGCCAAGACATAAAAAGAGGAACATGGATCTACAATGAGGTAAGACTTGGGAAGGACAGGAGGCCTGTCTTCAGAATCCTGAGACACCATCCTATGGAAGAGGCAGCGCTATCACTTGCCATGTGCCAGGTCAGGTGTTACAGCCACACTACAGTGCTCCCTAGCACAGGAGTACAACAATGCACAGGGCCCTCAAGGAAGCTGAGACACCATGGGAAGGAGGCCACTGCTAGCAGGCAAGAGAAAGCAATGATCGCCTAGACTGCCTGGCAGCCAGAACTCTGGCTCCTGCTATTCCACCTTGCTCTGGTGGGAGCTAGGCTGGGTGGAAAGAATTACCAGGAGGCACAACTCCAACACGACCTACAGCCAGAAGGACCCCCGGATGAGCCAAGATAGCTCCTCATGCACCCACCTCAACACCTGGTATTCCACCTGCCACAGGAGATAGGACCTAAGGATCCTGTGTGTGCCTGAGCCATGGGAGACACTGCACAAAGGAGCCTGGGATTCAGAGCACACTTCTCCTCCCCTAAACATCCTAATTAACCTCTGTACTTCTGAATGCCCCTGGTTTAAAAAAAATGAGTAACATCCTGGCACCTTAAACACATCCTTTCCCCACAGCCCCTCCAGCAAGCTCTTATCCATCTCAGCGAATGATACTAGAAGCTCACCCCATGACTTGTATCACTCACACCTATGTTCGGTTTACCCCTACTGCATCGCCACTGCCAGCATCAAACACCACTGTCACTCACCTTGCATCAGCCCTCTATGGGCCCCTTTCACCCACTACCACCTCCGTTATATTTTCAACTCAGCCATGGGGGGTTCTTCTGGGCACAAACCAAGTCGTAGGATTTCCTGCTTCAAACACTCCAGTTGTGTATATCCCAAGCCTTCAAGTAGATGCGGCAAGGGAGAGCCCCAGGGCCACGCAAGATCCCTGTCACTATGCCATGGTCCCACAGGTGCTGGCTCTTGAGAAGCTCCCTACCTTTTTTTTTTTGGTCCTGGGGCTCGATTGGGACTTTGCACTTATGAAGCAGGCACTTATGCCTCTAAGCTACCTCCCTGGCCTGAGGCTCCCTACCTTGATGTGCTTGTTGCTGCAGTCCCTCAGCAGGGGGTTGGGCAGGCTGGTGCTATGCCTCCTCCAGCTATGGTAGACGCTGAGTACAACCTCTGCCAGGCCCGGTGGCCACCTCAGCAGGAACTTGCTGCCCATGCCCTTCAGGTAGCGCATCATCAGCTCCAGGATGCCCCCGTTGGTCAGGTTTTCCAGCAGGAATTTGTGCACGTCCTGCTTCTCTGCCCAGGAATGAAGAACAACCTGACTTGGATGATGGCAACCTCCCATCCTGGTCCCCAGGATGGAAGAGGATCTCTGTGAACTCCCCTCCACCACTCAATCCAGATAAGCATTGCAGTGCAAAAGTCCTACTGCCAGGACTCAGTACCTGGCTCTAGCCCTCACCAGCAGTGAGCAAGCCTCTTCAGATGGCCATGTCTACAGTGGACATCAAAAGGCTGCCTCCAAGTACTGCCACACATGCTGACTGAGATCAGCCACACAATGCACAAGGCACACCATGCAAGCACTGGAGTGTGGCTACAACCCGAGCCGGCACACAGCAAGAGCTGTGGTCACGTATGTTCAGCCTGCAAAGCCAAGCCTCTAAACTCAGCCCTGAACACAGCCTTCGGATTGCGCGGCAGGTGGGAGTCCATGTGGATGCAGCTGGAGGCCGTTCGCTAAGCGAGATATATCAGACCCGACGTGCACACACCACTGTCTCCCTGGCCTGAGAACCTGAAAGAGTACATAAACTCCAAAAGGTATGACAGATACTGTAAAGGGAAAGAAACTGCTCAAATGGAAGAAACAACAGGGATGGGGGGAGAGAGGGAGAGAAGAAAAGGAAAGGAAAAAATATATATGTACATACACAGGATAGCTGGGACAGTTATACTGTTGATTTCTTTTCTTTTCTTTCTTTTTTGGCAGTACTGGGGATTGAACTTGGGACCTCACACTTGCCAGGCTTACGCTGCTGAGCTATCTCCCTGGCCCTTTTATTTTTATTTTATTTTATTTTATTTTTGTACTGCTAATTTCTACTGCTATATTGAAAGGAACCATCAATGCTTAATTATTTTCCTTCTTTTGAATTTTTTTGATCAATTTCGCATGCTTATATCTGGTAATCTGAACAACTAGTTTGAGGACAACAATATGTAATGTAACAACCATTGTTGAACTCTTAAAAAAAAGAAGTACGAGCCTGTCCATCTCAGCAGACCCAGATGAATCCAGAGTCAGGCCCAGGCCAAATCCAGGCAGCTTCTTGACCAATATTTAAAAAACACACCAGAACCTTTGCTCACCTTTGCTCCTAAACAACACCTAGACAAGTTATATGATAATGGGAAGAATTACTCCCAATGGGGACTAATCACATCACTGATCCCTACCAGATTCCATGAATGTGGCTGAGTCAAACGACAGTCGATGAGGCCCCACGCTTGAGAAGCTTTCCAGTTTGGCTTCTGACTGGACTTCATAGTTGTTAAAGGGATCATCTTCCTCCTCTGGGTCCAGCTTTCTTAGCCTGCATGGGAAATACCAAAGTAACCAAAGCCATACCACCCATTCTTTCGTGTAAGTAGAGATTGTTTTTTGTTTTTATTTCTATACTAGGAATCAAGCTCAAGGATCTTGTGCTTACCAGGCAGGCGATAGGCCACCAAGCTATATCCCCAGTGTGTACTGGGGATTGAATCCAGGAGCCTGTACATGTTGCTAACCACTCTAGCACTGACCTACATCCCCCATCCAGAGTCTTGCTATGTTACCTCCCAAGTAACTGGGTTACAAGTACTCACCACCAAGCCTGACTACACCACCTATACTGACTGCCACAAGCAATCTCACTCTTCCCTAGTAGAGAAACGAAATCTAAGCCAGGATGAACGAGATGAAAATAGGTGGGTGGAAGGATCTGGTCAGGGCCGCTGGGAAGATCTGCCTCTCTCCAGCGCTCCAGAGCTGGCATGTGGTCTACACCATCACCCATTCCCCTCTCATGCCCTAAGTACAGGAGATCATGCTTGAAGGAAGCTTATCTTCTAATGGGAGAGACAGACAATAAGCAGGTATACAAACAACCCAACTGAGGACCAACTGCAACAGAGCGCTTGAAACAGAGCCACAGGGCCCTGCCTCAGGGAACAGAATCACAAGAGTGCTGCTCAGGCTGGCATCACAGAAGCAGCACTGGCCATGCAAAGAAGCTAAACAAGAAAAATGTAAAAGCATCACACACGTTCTAGGATCTCAGGGGAGCCTAGCACACAGGGAGAAAGTAGGTGGAGGGTAACAGTGCGAGGGACTCACCAGGGCTGAGCTTAGTCCCTCCATGGTTCCTCACAAAACATCACCAGGTCTGGCCCAGCCGCTGGACATGGGTGGCCTCTCCCAGCAGGTCCCACTGTCTCAAACTCCTCCCAAGTGGGACTGCCTTGTGGACTGTCCTCATTCCAGCAGCATAAACACTCAGGCACCTATAAATGCCTTCACTTTCTTGCATACATGCTCCCTAAAGATTCCATCAGGCAAGTTATCCCATTATTCTTGCCTGAGCATTAACACTAAAATTTCACAAGAAACCAAATAAAATAAAGTAGAAACTATTTTGCATAAAGGGGGCTAAGGGAACAACACCTTAGGGTAGGGCAGCGTGGCTACAGGAAAGGTGGGGTCACTCAGCCAAAGTACGATCTTACAGCTCTCCCAGGAGGAAACCTTCTCCCCGCATGCCACAATAGGACCTGTCAGAAGGCGTGGTCTCCTCACCTTGATCCTGTACCACCTGCATACTGAGAATAACCTTTTCACTGTGCATTTAGCCTTCCCCACAAAAAGGCAGAAAATTAGACATACTGCTGTAAAATAGATTTCTAATGCTCCAAAAACTTCTGGATCCTCCTCCAAACTTCATTGCCATGAAGTGAGCAGTTAGAAAATTCTTTTTTTTTGAGACATTCTCACTAAATTGCCTGGATGAGCCTCAAACTTGAGATTCTTCCTGCCTCAGCCTCCCAAGTAACTGGGGTTACATGTATGTACCTTCAAGCCTGACAAATTCTCCTTTCAACTATTTTGTCACTGCAAAGGAAAGTTAACAAAAGCACGCTGCCTCTAACTCCACAGGCCCAAAAGATGAATAAGTCATAGCTCCAGCCTTCAGGAAGTTCAGAATAGGGAGAGGTAAGAAAAGCAGATTCCAATCCAGTGAGCTACGCACTTTCGATGCTCGCACAGGCATTAGGAAGGGAGTGGAATGAGATGCAATTAGAGGGGTAGGCTGGCGGTCTGTAGATGGGCTTGTTTCTGCAAATCAGAACAAGCTGCACGCCATACCTGGATGGCAAGAACTTCACCAGAAGCTCCTGGAAGTCTACTTTCTCTTCTTTTTTGCATTTAGTGTTTCGAACACGGGCAGACCTTCGCTTTGCAGTCTCTCCATATTCTTCTGAAATCTTCTTCCGTTTCACCCCTTTCTTGGATTTATCTCCCCCAGAAACATCACCTTAACAAAGAAAGAGTACAAATGAGAATCATACAAGGCAGTAGGGGTGATAAAACTCACCACACAGGCACGCCAGGCCCCTTCTTTTATAGCTACCAGCACTGAATCTGTTCCGGCATCCAAAAATCTTTCTTCAGTATCAGTCCTGAATAAAATTTTTAAGACTGAACCTCTTAATTCTCATGCCCTCTCAAGCTGGCAAGGCCACAGGGCCCACGTGTCAGGGCTCCTACTCCCATGCTGCAAGAGCCTCTGGACCTCAGTCCATGTGCCTGGGAAGGGTACCAGGGTCCCTGACCCTATGCACACGATACAAAAAGAGCAAGGAAACTATTACCCAAGAAGCAGGAAAATGTTACGTATAATTTTAAAAGTTAGAAACACCATGCACATGTTGATTCAGACATCTGTTCATCTGACACTTTTTGACAGTGACAGATATTAACATGTGAAAGTCTTCAAAAAAATTTTTTTACAACTCCACAAAAATAAAATGAAATACAACCGTACAAAACTGTACTACCACACAAGTTGGTGACTCTACTGACTTACATTTTCTGAAGTCAAAGAACTCAGAATGCACACAGGAAATGAGGGACCTGCAAATTACCACATCATAAGAGGGAGAGACTTTCATGCCACGACTGAGCAGCCAGCCTGGCGGGGGGCCAACCAGCAAGGGGCTGCACCCTTGAGCACCCGCACCCTCCTTGTAGGGCCTTCAGTGCTAAAGCACTGGTTCTGCAGGCAGCTGACAGGCTCCAATACAGGGCTAGCTGCTCCCACTTTCATGCAGGCCATAAAGATGACTACAACTCATTTCCCTGGAAAAGCCAGGCCCTCACAACTTCTTGTCCTGCTAGGCTCATTAAATGGGGTCCCTCCAAAAGACAGCTCTAGAAAGGGCTGTTCACCCATAGCAGCACCTGTGTCCAGCAGGCCAGGACTATGCAGTGGGAAGCTGGTTGGAGCCACAGGGGCATAGGGAAGCACAGGCTCAGCCACAGCTATGGCAGGGTTGGCACTGATGGGGCTCGGCTGGATCACACTGACAGGTGTCACCACCATGGAGGATGCTGGCAGATGATCCGGGTCCTGGTATTCAGACAGGTCAATTCTCTTGCCAAGGCTGGGCCGTGGTGGCTCACAGGTGGTGAGGTGGTTGTACATGGCCAGCAAGCTCTCTCCAAGGCACTTCCACCTGCAGAGAAAGACCCAGCATGCCTGGTCAGCACCCTGCCACAGGGGTCAGCAGGCCTGTGGAGAGACAGCAGAGCTATCCCCAGAGCTGCAACCTCCATGGGGAGGAGGGGAGTATGACCACATACTGTCACTGTAACTGACAAAAGGTGACTTCTGGAGATGGGGAAGCCTGCGCTAGAGGCACAGAGGCCTGGCATCCTTCTGCCCTCACCCCGGCAGAAGTCTCCAGTGTTCTATTCTATTATCATGGTGACCCTACAAGAAAGGCACACCGTTCTCCCCATTTTTAGGGAACATTATGTAATGTCCCCAGCTAACGCCAGCAATGGTGCCAGGGCTGGCTGCAGGGGCACCTGAGCTAGGAGAGGAGCTCCAGCCCACCATGCAGCACTGCTCCCATGTATGTGCGCGCTTGCGGAGGTAACAGAACACTGATGCCGAGGCACACTACTATTTTCAATATTTATTTTTGATTAGCACACGTTTGTGTTCCATAACGATCACTCTGCATGGAGCACTGGTACTTACACACAGTATGTATCAGTTCTTCTTTCATCCCCTTCCCTCCCCCGCCCTCCTTCTAGCTCTTGGTCCCCTTCCCATTTGCAAATGATCCTTCTATTTCCTATTTTTGTATCTTTTATCTTGTTCTTTACTCATATAAGAGAAACCATGTGCTATTTAGCTTTGTATCTGATCTATTTCACTTAACATTATAGTCTTAAGGTACATCCATTTTCCTACAAATGACTGGTTTATCCTTCTTTACAGCACAGTAGTACTCCATTACATATAAATATCTTATTTTCTTTATCCATTCATCTGTTGATGGATACACAAATCGCTTTCAAGATAGCTCTTTCAAGAAGACACCTAGAGGGGCCGGGGAGATGGCTCAGGAGAATAAGCACATGCCTGGCAAGCACAAGGGCCTGAGTTCAATCCCTAGTTCTGCCAAAAAATAAAATAAAATAAATTAAAAGATACCTAGAAAGGGAATACCTGAGTTGAATGGAATTTCTAGTTCTAATGTTTTGGTACAGAGATCAGAATCTCCTTACTGATTTCCATAGTGGCTGTACTAGATTCCCATCAACAATGCAAAAGGGCTCCTTTCCCCACCCCCACTCTTACCTCCCCAGTGTCTGCTTTGATTTTTTTTTAATTTTATTTATTTATTTATTTGTGTGTGTGTGTGTGTGTGTGTGTGTGTGTGGCCAGCTCAGCCCACCAGGGGGAGGGGCTGGCTGGCATGTGGTGTTGGGGGATTGAACCGCGGTCCCTGTGCTTTCTAAGCTTGTCCTAAGTAGGTGCTTTAGACTACTGAGCCATCACACCAGCCCTATTTTGATTTTTTTGACAGTCATTATTTCTGGAATAAGATGGAATCTCAGTGTTGTCTTAATTAGCATTTAGATGAACATTTTTTTCACATATTTAACCATTTATATTTCTGAGAAGTATCTACTCATTTCAGTTGACCATTTTTTGACTGAGTCCTTTATTTTCAGTGGTCTAATTTTTTTTAAGTTCTTTACATATTCTAGATATTAGTCCTTTGTCTGAGGAATAGCTGGCAAATTTGTTTCCCAGGCTGTAGCTTGTCTCTTCACTCTGCTTTGTTTAGTTTTTGAGACAAGGTCTCACTAAGGAGCTCAGGCTGACCCTGAACACTCACTATGTAGCCCAGAATGGCCTTGAACTTGCAGTGACCCTCCTGCCCTGGTCTTCCAAGTGTGAAGTTACAGGTATGTACACCATGCCTGGTCTCTCAACCTGCTGGCTGTTCCCTTCGCTGTGCAGGAGCTTTTAATTTGATATTTTGTTGATTCCTGATGTTATTTCTTGTGCAACTGGGATTCTGTTCAGAAAGTTCTTGCCTGGGCCTATGTCTCCAAGAGTTTTACCTATTTTATCTTCCAACAGATTGTTTTTGTTTAACATTTAGATCTTTGATGCATTTTGATTTTCATTTAGTACATGGTGAGATACACAGGTCTAGATCCAACCTTTCACAATTGTGAATAGCCAGTTTTCCCAATACCATTCAGACTATCTTTCTTCCAGTGTATGTTTTTGGCCTCTGTGTCAAAGATCAGACAGCTAAATGTCAAAGCACACTAATTTTTTGTTTTAATGATAACAAAATTTACTTGAAGAGTAAAAATGAAAAGTGAGAAGAAACTGGCTCAGCAGACCAAACCTGGGCTAAGTAAAAGAAGAAAAAGCAAGATGAAAGTATACCCTGGAGGACACGGGGTGGGCTATCATGAGGAAAGCCAGGCTAGTAAGCTCTCTGAGGCCTCTGAATCCTTTCATGTCATCCAAATGACAAGGAAGGCCACAAGAACTTCTACATACAAGTTCAAACAGGCAGAAGGCACGTTAAATTTAAAGATTCAAGAATCATGACATGCATGGTGGTGTACACCTGTAATCCCAGAACTTGGGAGGCCAAGACAAGACGAAGGCCATGAGTTCCACTCCACCCAAAGCTATGTGGTGATTTCAAGGACAGTCTGAGCAACTCAGCAAGACTCTGTCTCAGAAAACCAAACAAACAAACAAACAAAATAACCAACCATTTTCAATGTCAGAAATTTTACAGCAGAAATTGAATGCCAGAGCTAAATTACTCCAACTCCAGTGAGCACCACACCCCAAGGCATCCACAGGTATGACAGCTAAGGAAGTCCACACCTAGGACTGTCACTAGGCTTCCTGGTAACCTTCTGGCAAGTGCTTGCTTGTCAAACCTTAGTTTTCTTTTCCCATCTGGATAGAGCAGATGATAAGGGCACCTTATAGGAATGTGACAGGTAGCGTAGGTCAACAAGGGCAAGAGCAAAACTGATGCAGATTAGTCTAACCTGAGAAAAGGGAGCTTCTTAGCAGCTCCTCAACAAACAGTACATGTCTCCTGCCTTCCGGCCACAGCAGACCCAGCCCCCTCCCACACCACCAGCCCAGAGTCAAGCCTGGGTTTCCGCCTCCTGTGCAGGGCAGTGTCCCACATCAGGACCCACCAGCCAACCCAGCATACCCCACAGTCATGTGACAACCTACGTGAAGAAGGGGATGGGCTGCACCAGTTTCAGGTCTGGCTCCTTCTCCCGCACAAGCAATGCTTGCCTCTTCTTTCGCAGCCCCAGGGCCTCATCCACAATGGCTTGCGTCTCAGCTGCGCTCACTGACACATCGTGAATCGACATATCACTAAAAATGTGTAAGACAGAGAGAAAACACAATGTTGTGAAGTACAGCCAAGGCTAAAATTACTGGCAGGGTTGTACTTAGGTTAATAACCTTTAATCTGTACTGATTCTTCCTGAATATAAAATAACCACTTGAATCTGGCCTCAAATGGGCAGTAATTAGCATTCTTAATTTCCACACACAATGGAAATGACTAACACCCGCTGCTCCATCCACAAATTCACAACTGAACAGAGAAAGGGTTTTCATATGTATCAACAGTATCACTGAAAAGCCACAGAAAATAAAATTGTGCCCTCACTTATAGAAAGTTTTCTTGTTTTATTTTGTTTTGTTTTTGCAGTACCAGGGATTGAACTCAGGACCCACTTACAGAAAGTTTTAAAAGAACTTATTCCATATACCCACCCCAACAAATGTCATTAGATAAGCCAAGCTCACTAAATTCAATAGTGTCCCCCCAAAACAGAAAAGGCAGGAACTCTGAAGCCTCAGATCCCTCCCCCGGTCATACTCTGCCTGAGGAGATGTAATAAGACCTGCCCTCCGGCACAGACTGTCCTGATGCCTCCCAGCAAGGCTACCCCACAGAGCCACTCCTTTAGGGACTGACTTATGTCTAATACATTTGTCATCTCTAAAGTCAGTTCTCTCAGGACAAATGTAAACACAGACACAAACTCTGGGGGAACAACCACCAATCCCCAGCTGGTGAGTTTAGTGGCCAAGGAACACCAGAGGGGCAAGGGGAATTGGCCTGGCTGGGGGATGGGGGAGGCAATTAAGAGCTCTGAAAGCTGCAACCTGAGTGTTGGAAAGTGAGGAGCAGCAATAATGAGACAGGGGAAAGGGTGGGAAGATGACAGGCCAGATTAGTGCACAGCAGGTGCCCAGGTGAGGAGGCAGGACGCTGGGCAGGGCCTGAATCCTCCAAGGTCCAGGGCAGTGTTAACCAAAGGAGCCTGGGAAGGAAAAGTAGGTGGTAAAAACAGAGAACCATGGGAGCTGGCTACAAAGGCCCTCATGGGGAATGCAGGTGGGCGTGGGATCTGTCCTAGAGGCAAAGCAGGAACACCCCAAGATCAGAGGCACGTTTGGAACACTGAGTTTGTACAGTACTGGGAACAAAACAAGGCAAGCGGAAAGGATGCAAGATGGGCAGCACCTTGTCACAGCAGGCGGTCACACACATCTACAGAAGACCTAGCAAACACTGACAGCTGCCAGGGAAGTGCAAAAAGAGCAATGATGTCCTCAGCCTCAGCTTGAGGAAGAATTGCTGAGATCTGGCATGCTGGAGAGATAAACAAGGCAGGGCGGGTGAGCTCGCTGGATGAGGTATGAGAGCCAGCAGACGAAGCCTCGCAGTTCACAGGCTCCCCCTGCTGGGACGTCAGGACTTGACAGGAGAACCTGGTGCACTTTGACATTCACCAGCCACATGGGAACAGGCAGAATTTACCATTTAAGGAACATTCGGAGTGAGTCCTTCCGGAGACAAGGCTGCTCCTCAAAGATCTTCTCCTTGAGAACCAGCCCCTTGCTGTACTGGCAATCCTTCTCCAGTGCTTTGCAGATGAAGTACAGACAGGCTGGCAGTTAAAAAAAAAAAAAAAAAGTTTAGACCTAAGACTGCACTCTAGAGCCAGAAATGCAAGATGCTAAAAACAGGATATCACTTTAAGCAATTCAATCAGGGAAGACTTCTGGAACTGTAATACCCGCAGTAGACAGGGCTCTACAAGATGAACAGACTCAAACACTGCCAGCAGAGAATAAAATTAATAATCTTTGTTAGAGGACCTCAAACCAGCAATCACACTTATAGGAATTGCAGCAAAAATCTACAAGGCTCACAACTATCATCTCTTAGCTACTGCCTAGCTAGAAAATAGCCTTCAAAAAAATCTGACAAATACTCTGTTCTATTATGTAGGGCTTGGGCTGGTGAGATGGTTCAGTGGTCTAAAGCACCTATTTAAAACAAGCTTGGAACAGCACAGGGACCGCGGTTCAATCCCCCAGTACCACATGCCAGCCAGCCCCGCCCCTGGTGGGCTGAGCTGGCCCCCTCCTCACATAAATAAATAAAATAAAATAAAATTTATTATGTAGGGCTGGTTAAGAGAAACTTGGCTGATCCACACACATTGGATTGTACTGAGGGTGGTTACTGACCAGACAGCAGGCCACAACCTAGCACTGGGCAGAGGGATGGGACAAAACAGGTGAACCCACATGTACATGTAAAACCACTTGCTTTCATTTCTGTTTACTATATTTTCCAATTTTTCTTTTTTCCCTTTTTAAATTTTTTTTTAATATTTATTTATTTATTTTGTGTGTGTGTGTCCAGCTCAGCCCACCGGGCTGGCTGGCATGTGGTGCTGGGGGATTGAACCGCGGTCCCTGTGCTTTGCTAAGCTTGTTCTAAGTACGTGCTTTAGACCACTGAGCCATTTCACCAGCCCCTTTTTTTTCCCTTTTTAAAAATTAGTCTTACAATCATCACTTGTCATTTAAGACATTTGTGTTAATGCAATATAGAGTCTTCTTAAGCTGTTGATCTGGAAAGCCTGAGCAAATTCTGGATCTATCAGGAGTGAAAACAGTAACAGGGAAACTAATGCACTGACAAAAATTGGAAGTTGGGCTGGGGAGGTGGCTCAGGGCCAGGGGGATGGCTCAGGGCCGGGGAGATGGCTCAGTGGCCAAAAGCGCCTGCCTAGCAAGCACAAGGTCCTAAGTTCAATCCCCAGTAAAAACAAAAAACAAAGCCACAGACTCAGGAAATGACATTGTGAGCTATGAAAGTCTTTAGCATTTCTAAGTGGGAAGAGCCCATGGCAAACAGTATCACTGGGGGTCTCAGAAACTGTACTGCCAGGTCTCACCATTGACCACACTGGGAAGAGAGCACCAGCTCCAGTCTGCCTAGGCACCTAGATTATCACCATGCCCCGCTATACTTCTCAATTTCAATGTAGGTAGACTGCAAGTCACTCCTATCAAAAATAAACAAAAAAAGAAGGCACAGGGGATTAGGAGTGAAGCAAGGAGCAAAGAAGTGGAGATCTAGGCATGGAAGCCCTGGGAAAGAAAAAAGTGACAGACACCTAGCACCCCTTTTGGGGGCTGGGAGGCCTGTTCATGACGTTCAGCAGGGGCCACACCTCCAATGCATGCAACCCGTATAGGAAAAGCTCTGCACAGTCGTAGCATGGGCCGAGCCACACTGTAAGCTGCTCGATAGACAGCAACAGGCGCCTACCTCAGGCAGACTGAGCCACGGTTCCTCTGCGACCCCGGGGACCATAATGGGTGGCCATTGGCAACTTCCAGAGAGAAAACCAGGGAGGCCCTGAAGCTTTCGATGCTGCTACTTCTCAGTAGGCGTGTTAGCTGCACTAGGCTTACTGTCCCACAGAGGAAGGCCTGAGAAACCTCAAGGGAGCAGGAGGAGGTCAGCAGGCCCTAACCCAACAGGACCCCTGCTAAGCCATGTCACTGAGCATCAGTGTAACATACTGTTTTTCCTCTTTGGTTTAAGTTAGTGTAAAATCTATTCAGGACTCTTACAGATAAAGGTATCAGTTCAGTCCTTGGATAGTTAATTTTATGTATGAATTTGGATGCATAGATTTTGTTGTTTCGGGTTTTTTGTTTTGTTTTTTATTTTTGTGGCTGGCTCAGCCTGCCCTGTGGTGCCAGGGATCAAACCGCAGTCCCTGTGCTTTGCCTAAGCTTGCCTAAGCAGGTACTTTAGACCACTGAGCTATCTCACTGGCCCTGGTGCCCAGATTGTGGTCAAACATTATTTTGGGTGTTTCTTTGGATGAGATTAAAATCTAATCAGTAGATGGAGTAAAGCAGGGATCTCTCCCTAATGCAGAGGGAACTCAACCGATCAGTTGACAGCCTGAATAGAACAAAAAGGCTGACCTTCCCCTGAGGGAGTTTTTCCTACCTGACTGCCTTTAAACTGGAACACTGGCCTTTTTAGCCTTCTCCCTGGAACTATAACAGCCTCCTAGATCCCAGGTCTTTGGACTCAGACTAGAGCAATACTACAGCTTTCCCAGGTCTCTAGCTCACCACCTCATCTGGTACATCCATGGACTAGTCAGCCTCCATAAATGTATGAACCAATTCTTTGTAAGAAATCATATATATGGCCATTTTTCTGGAGAACTATATAGTATCTCAACCCTGTTTTCCCATAATGCCTGCATGTTTCCAAGCGTAATTCCTACCATAAGACAGGAATGCAAAGCAGTAAACCAGTGGGCTGGGGAAGGAAGACTGACCCTGACAATGGTACTCAACTGTGGAAGAACTCCAAGAAAAGACTAAAACCCTCTGGAATATAAGAACCTGCTGGAGTCAGATTGTTGCCCACAGAACTTTCATATTCTGTTGACAGTTAAAAGTGGGCCAACCTACAAAACAAGTACACACATCCACCAAATGATTCAAACAAGAACATCTGCAGCAGCATTATGCCTAAGAGTCCAGATGTGAACAAAAACTCAGATGTCCATGCACAGAATGGTTAAATTGTGTAGATGCACATAATAGACTAAAAGCAATAAAGGAGACCTAGCAATGGATGTGCCCTACATAGGTGCACTCAGCAACAGAATGACACGCAGCGACCACCAAGATGACACGGCACATGCCTTCTGACTCCACCTCAAGGACGTTCAAGGACAGGGAAGGTGGTGTCTGGCAACAAAGAGGAGAGATCAAGGTCGCCACAGGGGACTGCAATGTGCAGAAATGACCCAAGCGGCATGCCTCTGGGCTGTAGCGAATGTTCTCCATCTTGGATTAGCTTTTCAGCTATATAAACTGATGGCTTTCACTGTACACTTTTTTGCATGTTTTGCCTCAATCAGAAAGATTTTAAAAGTGACTCTGAAGAATAAAAAATGAAGGTACACTGGGTAAGTAAGGCTTTGTACTTCTCAACATAATCCATCCAGCAGCTATCTATCTTTAAAAAAAAAGAAAACCTTTCCAGTTTTCAGAACTGAGAAATGTTTAAGCCACCCAATCTATCATATTTTGTTACAGTTGCCCAATCTAAAACATATTGGTGGGGGCCGGTGAGATGGCTCAGAAGAATAAGCACTTGCCTGGCAAGCGTGAGGGCCTGAGTTCAATCTCCGGTTCTGCAAAAAAGAAAAAGAAAAAAAGAAAATAGAAGGGAAAAAAAAAACCACATTGGTACTGAGCAGTGGGATGCGACTATAACAACTATAAATGTGTGAGCAGCTTTTTGTTTTGTTTGGGGAGCAGAATTTATTTATTAGGGGGAAGAAAGCTTCCATCCGAAAGAGGGACAGAAGGGGAGCCGAGTGGGTTGCCCAGGATATAAGCAGTTCTAAAACTAGGTATTGGGGCCAGTGAGATTATCTCAGTGGTCTACAGCACCTGCTTAGGTAAGCTTAGGCAGCCATAGGAACTACAGTTAGATTCCCAACACCACATGCTGCTCCAGCTCCGCCCACAGGGCACGTTGAGCCAGCCACAAAAAAAAAAAGTAAAACTAGGTATTAAATAGAAGTTAAAGAGTTTCAGGGCCAGCCAGATAGCTCAACAGAGTAAAGCGCCTGTGAGGTTCAATCCCTCGCATGCTGTGCCAGCCCCACCACCAGGTCACAATGAGACAAGAATGAGACTGGGCATGGTGGCGAACACCTGGAATTCCAGCACTTAGGAGGCTAAAAACAGGAGGATCACCAGAGTCTGATCTGTGTAGCAAGACCCTGTACTAAATACATACATAATAAATAAAAATAAGGAGTTTTAAGGTGCATACAACAAAAAGCCAATATGGCCATGAAGGTGATTCTGATGAATGCTAAGAACAAAAAATAGACACAGAGAAAGCTTCCATCTTCTTAAAAAAACAACTTACAGAATATGTGAAGAAATTTGACTGTCGGGCCAAGCCCACCCCAGGGTGCGCTGAGACAGCAATAGAGACTGGACGTGGTGGCATGCACCTGTAATCCCAGCTCTTGGGAGGCTGGAAACAGGCGGATCACTACGAGTCCAATCTAGTAGTGGGACCCTGAACACCCTGTAGACCCTTCCATAAAACACACACACACAAAAAAGGAAGATGAAGAAGAAAGAAATTTGAATGCTAAAGACAATACTTCTGGGAGTCAGGTGGAAATGAGGAATATGTCACTGGATGATAAAGTAAAAGTAATTCTTGTTACAAAGCAGCAAAGTGCTTGACTGAATTGTGTTTGTTCTGGTGTTTTGTGGAAAGTAGACATGTGAGCAATGAAATTAGATATTCCACTAAGGAGATTCCTAAGCAAAGTGTCATGTAACTGGATGTAGCTGGGGAGACTCCTAAACAAAATGTTGAAAATGTGGTCTGGTTTCTCCTGACCGCTTATAGTTGGACCTCTGCATGTACAAGTTCTGCACTGCTAGACTGAAAATATGTAGGGGAAAACTGTGTGCATACTATACATGTACAGTCTTCTTGTCTTTATTTCCCAAGAAATACAGTCTCACAACAGTGTATCATTTATATTGTGCTTGGTATTGCAAATAATCTACAGATGATTTAAAGACAAAATTTTAAAAAGATGTAAAAGAGGAATCAGAAGAGACCTATGATACAAGAGATCAGCAAGGACTTGAGACAGGTGCAGGGGAAAGGAAGAAGAGGGGTGGCTGTGCTTCAGCAGGGCACGACAGACGCACAAATGGAAGCCCAGTGATCTACACTGACTTGTGCAATTAATGTGTGTTAATCATTACAACAAAATTAACAAAATGGATTTAATAGAAAAAGGTATATGAGAGGGTGTACCTGCTTTTATGCAAATATCAGGCCGACTTATATAAGGGGCTGGAGGATCTGTGGATACTGGTATCCTTTTCCTGGAACCATTCCCTTGTGGATGCCAAAGGAGGACTACATAGTAAAACACAAGACAGAAACGAAGTGAAGGCCAGGCGTGGTGGCGCATCCAGCACTTGGGAGGCTGAGACAGGAGGATTGTTGTGATTTCGAGACCAGCCTGGGCTACAAAGTAAGCTCAAGGCCTGTCTCAAAAAGACCAAAAAAAAAAAGAACTGAAGAAGGAATTGTTAAGCAAAAAGAAACCAGGACTTAACAGATTTAGAAAATTCTTAGCCTATCTATATTACAAAACCTGAGAAATCTTGCCCTAAAAAAAGCATCAAAGGATAGCTAAACAATCATTCCACTATAAGACTAATATGTGCAGGAACTATACATATAACAGCAGAAGCTAAGAACAGAAGGATTTTTTTTTGTTTGTTTGTTTTTTCTGGCTGGCTCAGGCTGCCTTAAGGATGGGTCTGGTAAGGCAGGTGGAGCTGGGGATTGAACCACGGTACCCTGCACCTGACTGCTTTTGTATGAGCAGGAGCTTAAACAACTGAGCTAACTGGCAGGCCCCCAGAAGCTGAGAATAAAGACGGGACCACACCATCAGGAATATTTTCAGTAGGGACTCAAGGGAACAGAAAAAAATAGGAGGGAATAAAGAAAGGATGTAATATGTGCTTTCCTTCAAAAAAAGGAATGACCCCCAAGCTGCCACAGCTACCACAAAACTAGGAGGCAGAGATAGTACCTTAATGGACATGCCACCTCTCCTGCTGGCCCTGGATATCCTAGACCAATGTCTCAGAGGAAAGGTTCCCCCAAATCACAAAGAGGGGCAAGGGGCCAGCTCACTGAGCTGTGAGAGTGACACTGTCACACCAATGAGCCTGGAAGGCACAGCATCAGACCTAGTAGAATTATTCCTAAACCGTACCATCTAAAGGAAACTGCCTTGATAAATTTGGGCTTTACTGGGACCTGATCAGCCCTTTCTACGCCTCATACTTGGAAGGAAATGTCTAGCCTATGTTTGTCCCATAAAGCACATAACTAATTTATCTGGCACAACAGATTCGCAGAGAGAATTTCGCTTCAAGACTAATTTCTCTTTGGTTTCGCCCATACATGAGTTAGATACTTAGAGGACACTTTGGGCATAAGATCTGATACTAAGACGAGCTAAGACTTTAGGGGCTGCTAGGATAAAATGAGTGTATTTTGCATATGAGAAGAACATAAATCTTCTCACATCCTAGGGGGTTATGAACTAGAGACAGAATACTATGGGCTGAAGGTAACTCTGTACATTTTTATACTGAATCCCTAATCCCCAGTGTGATGATATTTGGAGGTAGGGCCCCTTCAAAGTAATCAGACTTAGATGAAGTCTATAGTGCACTCTCATTGTGTGTATCAAAGAGGTAAAGATATAGCAAGAATGTGGCCCTCTGCGAGTCAAGGCGAGGGCTGAGGCCAGACACCAAATCTGCTTGTACTCTGACCTTAGACTCTCCAGCTTCTGCAACTATGAGAAGTAAGTTTGCTGCTTAAGCTATTTGGTCTGGCTTTATGCTACACGGCCCAAACTGACTAAGACACAAAAGATGGGATAGGGTAAAGCTAAAATGAGAGAGACAAGGGAAATTTGTTGTCAGTTGCACGCTTATTACTACAAAGCATCTGATAAATCAAGAAAGACAAACAGAATAAAACAAACTAAGCCTGGAAATCGGTAACTTAGTTCTCTTTCCCATCTTGCAAGACAGCAGGCAAAAAAACAGAAAAGCCAGATGCTAAAGAGAAGAAACCTAAAGCCAAGATAGCGGCTACCAGTGGCACTGGTACAAAGGGTAGGATTGAGGCAAAAAAGTCCAAGCCCCACTGCAGCCAAAAACCTGTCCTGATTAGAGGAGTTGGTAGGTACTCCTGATCTGCTACGTATTCCAGAAAGGCTCTGTACAAGAGAAAGTACACAGCTGCTATATCAAAGGCTGAGAAGAAAAAGAAGGAAAACCAGTTGGTGGTGACAAGAATGGTGGTACCAGGTGGGTAAGCTTCAAAATATGCCTAGCTACTACCCTCCTGACAATGTGCCCTGAAAGCTGCTGAGCCACAGCAACCCGTCAGTCAGCATGAGAGGCAACTTTGAGCTACACCACTCCCGGCCCCATCTTGCTCGTCCTCACCAGGCATCACAGAGGCAAGAGAGTGGTATTCCTGAAGCAGCTGGCCAGTGGCTTGCTACTTCTCACTGGGCCTCTTGGCTTTAATCAAGTTCCTCTATGAAGAACACATCAGAAATTTGTCACTGTCACCTCCACAAAAACTGATACCTGCAAAGTGAAAATCCCCAAACATCTCACTGATGCTTACTTCAAGAAGCAGCAGCAGCTACGGAAGCCCAGACACCAGGAGGGTGAGATCGACAGCGAGAAAGAGATACCAGATGTCAGAGCAGCGCAAGGTGGACCAGAAAATGGTAGACTGACAGATTTTTACCAAACATCAAAGCTGTTCCTCAGCTCCAGTGCTACCTGTGATTCGTTTTTGCACGACAAATGGAATTTATGCTCATAAATTAGTGTTCTACATTTCTTACTAAGAACCTAATTAAATAACTGACACATTAAAAAAAAAAAAGAAAAAGAAAGCAAAGATGTAGAAACATTTCCATTCTGCCTGACAGTCTGGCTCAAGGCCAGTCAGTGTTAGCTGGGTGTGGTGGCTGATGCCTATAATCCCAACACTGAAGGCAGGAGTACCACCATGAATTTGAGGCCAAACTGGGCTACATAAGCAAGTTCAAGGTCAGCCTGCACTACATAGTAAGACCTTGTCTCCAAACAAAGCCTATCAGAGTCACTTCAGGTAAGCTCCCACTTACCCAGCCACTCTCCCTCCCCAAAAGAACAGTCACATAGAGAAAACATTAAGTCTAACTCACTTGTGTAATCACTGAGGGTGTACAGGACAGTGATGAGGTTGTCCAAGCAGGGCCAGTGGTCAGGATTGCACTGCAGTCCCTCCTCAAAGGCATGGCGAGCCAGGGGGAGCCGGATAAGCCTCAGGGCCACGTGTCCAATTTTATACCAGAGGTTGACATCTGTGGAGTCCAGCATCACTGCCTGGAAGCAGCACAAGCAGAACACACACACACACACACACACTCAGTTAGAGTTCTTGCTAATCAGACACCCATGGGGACTGGAGGAGCATAGCACTGGCCTAGCTACTCTAACCCCGAGAAATGCCAAACTGACACCATTGCCTTATACCTAACAAGGTCAGCTCATCTCTTCCAGAGGCACACATCTCTCACACTCAGAAAAATGACACATGAAAAGTTAAATGAACCAATTTAATTAGCGCAAAACATTTTCTTAGTATGTCAAAATAAACATTTGTATTCCTTACATATTTAAGAAGTAAAAGAAGTAAAAAGAGTAGAATGAGGGCCAGGCGTATAGCTCAGCAGCATAAGGCACCTGCCTGGCAAGTGCAAGATCCAGAGTTCAAACCCTGGTACCGCAAAAAAAAAAAAAAAAAGTAGAATGAAAAGAAAATACGGAAGCCGGCAGGAAGATAACTACAAGTTCAAGGCCAGCCTGAGATACACAGTGAGTTCAAGGTCAGCCTGGACTATATAGTGAGACCCTATCTCAGAAAAAATGAAGGAAGGAAGGAAAGAGGGAGGAAGGGAGGGAGGGAAGAAGGATCTTGCTGTAATTCTAGAAAAGTTATATGCTTTTGAGTGCCCTTGCTTGATATCCCTGTTCTAACAATGGTTAGCACACTGATCCCAAGCCTCTGTTCTCTCATCACTAAAATGATAGTTTCCTTCCTTGCAAAGTTGCAGAAGTATGCATGGGAAGCAATTAAGCCAGCATCTGGTGCTTTAGTGATGCCCAGAGACTGTGATGGTAGTATAGAAATAATAGCAGCACTATTATGGCTGATACAAGAAGTTAGGCTGTCTACATACCAACTCACTTAATTTTCACAACTATGCTTGCTTGCTTGCTTACTTGCTTTTTCTTTTTTTTCTTTTTTTTTTTTTTGGTACCAGGAATCAAACTCAGGACCTTGCCCTTGCTAGGCAGCACTGCACTGCTGAGTTATATCCTCAGCCTCAAATATATATCCTTTATTATATTTCCCACTACAGTAACACAGACCTGGAGGCGCCCCCAGTCACACAGGTACTGCATGGCAGAGGAAGAGTTCACACACAGGCTCTGCACCGCCCAGCCCCTGCCCCACCCCCACCCACGTATGTCCTCACTGTTACCACCCACTGGCCAGGGCCACAGGAAGCTCAACTTGGTGACCACTGCTACAAACTTTTCTGCTTAGATGCCAAGACCACAACCTTGTCTCCCCAACCGAACAGAGAGAGCTGAGCGCAGACCAAAACCCCACCTCCAGGTAGAACTCCATGGCTGTCTCCAGATCCTCTCGCTGAGCGGCCAGCTGGGCCAGGTTCTTGTATGTGGAGTATTTCAGAATCAGTCCAGGGTGTTTCAATCCCTCCTTCTCATCACCAGATGAAATTGCCTGTGAGCAAAACAAATAGGCCCAGAAGTGATAAGTAGGCCCTAAAACCTCAGTAAGCAGCCAGCAGAATACCTGGCTTTGAGGCGGGCCTTGGCCATGCACCCCGGAGCCATTCCAGTATCAGCCTCCATGACAAAATTAAAGCACTGCACATGTCCTTGGAAGAGCCTTCCGGCAACAATCACACAAGACAGAAAGGCCAGACCACCATGGGTAGTTTGCAGGGATGGGGGCATCAAAATGACAGCAAGAGTCGTCCCTACAGGCCACTGGCAGCACACCTGCAGGCTCAGGCACAAATGGTGCCTCCTATGGCATCAGCGAGCCAGCCCAGCCACAGGCTCCCCACTGCAGGTCTGAAGGCCGAGGACCGAGGGAGGAGTCTTTCTGGAAGCAGTAACAGGACCTGGAGCCCCACTCTAGACACACCTGGATCAGGAGTTAAGAAGCTGAGTTCCTAGCTCTGTAATTCCATACAAAAATTATGTAATAATAGCCCAGGGACCTTTGCAGTAAGACAATAATTCCTAACCTGAAATCAAAGTAAACATAAGCTAAAAGAACACAAGGACTACAAACATGATTATAAAGTCACGGCTTCCAGGACCCACTCCACCGTGGGCGGACAGGGAGGGCCCACTACTGAAGCGTTCCCAGCACCTGGATCAATAGAAATGTTCCCCTCCTCTGGGCCCTCAGTACTCCCTACTGATAGTATGTGGCAGGTCACAATTCCCATGACTCTAATTCCAACACAGTATAACAACTAACAAGAATCTTGACAAGCTATACAATTAGGAATAAAAGAAAATACACTGAGTGAAGGATAGGTACTTTCTGCAGACAATTAGAACTCAGCATTCTGCCTTATGGGAGACAGAAAACATTCAGGGGTAGGCCTTGAGACATAAACGCCAGGGCTGTAGGGTACTCTATTCACTCAAGTGAAAGATGGTGTGGGCCTCAAGAATGCCCCTGGAGCCTGTCTGCTTCTTTAATGCACTTTAGCTGTGACTGAGTAGCTAAAAACAAAATTCTTCTTTTTTTTTTTTTGGTACTAGGAGAGCAAACTCAAGACCTTGCGCTTGCCAGGCCAAAAACAAAATTCTCTTCTCCTCAGGAAACATTCACCTTTTTAAGTCACTTTCAGGTTGAGAGCAACTTCCAAACCTCCAGTTGACATTTCCATGACTCAGCCAACATGAGGCCTACTTCCTCACTACTAGCATGGTCTCCACACTGGGACCAGTCCAGCCCAACCCTCCGCCTCTTTTGTTGCCAGTGTCCCCAGCCTTTTTCTCTATGTTCAAAGGCCTTCAGCATTTGGACACAACAGTGTATGCCTGTAGTTCACCTACTCAAAGACTGAGAATGGATAGTCACTAGAGCTCAGCAATTCAAAACCATGCTAAGAAACAGTGCAAGTCCCTACTGAATGGAATGAAAGGAGAAAGGAAGAGAAAAACAGAAGGAGAAAAGGAAAAGGAAAGAGAGGGGAGGAAAGAGAAGGGGGAGAGGAAGCAAGGGAAGGGAAAGAGGAGGGGGGAGGGAAAAGGGGGAGAGGAGGGAGGAAGAAAGAAAGGGGAGAGAGGGAGGAAAGAAAAAGAGAAGACGATTCACATTCTTACACAGACTCCCTGACCTCATGGCCTGTTACTCAAATGGCATTTGCCAAAGTATACTGCCAGGCTGGCCTGATAGCTTAGCAGTCTAAAGTGGCGCAGTGGCTGGGTTCAATCCACACCTTGTCTTGCCACACGGGCCCCGCCCCCTGGGGCATGCTGAGCCAGGGATCACCAGGGCATAGTGATGCGCACCTGTAATCCCAGCACTTGGGAGGCTGAAAACAAGAAAATTACTACAAGCCAATCTATGTAGTGAGACCCTGTAGAACCTATAGACCCTGTCCCAAATACAGAAAAAAAATTTAAAAAAATAGAGCTGGGGCGATAGCTCAGTAGAATAAGTACTTGCCTGGCAAGTGCAAGGTCCTGAGTTCAATCCCTAGTACTGCAAAATAAATAAATAAATAAAATTTAAAAATTAAAAATAAATAACAAAATGTACTGCCAACAGATCTTTAGGTACTAGAAAACAACTGGCTCCTATCCTAGTTCTAATGCTTCATCACTTATCATAAGTATGGATTTGGGGGCTGGGAAGATAGCTCAGCAGCACCTGCCTCACAAGTGCAAGGTCCCAAGTTCAAGCCCCAGTACCACACTCACACACACACACACACACACACACACACCCTGGGAGGTAGCTCAGCAGCTTAAGCACTTGCCTGGAATGTGCAAGGTCCTGGTTTCGATCCCCAGTATAAAAAAAAAAAAAATTATATAAGCATGGATTTGAGCCATCAACTCCTCACTAAGCCTCAGTTTTCACATCTGTAAAACAGGAACACCCTCATCTACTAAACAGAGTGGCTATAAGATTAAGTAACAGGCACTCATTTAGAACTTGCTATTACTGTCCCCCCCAAGCCTCATGGGGTCATAGGCAGGACTTCCAGAGGTGACTGGATCTAGGTGTGTGATGCTGGGATCAAGGAAGTGATCCTGGGACTGAGTCACACGCAAGGGTAGGATTAAGGATGTGAGTGCTAGCCCAGGGGTGGGCAGCCTGGATAAGATGTGAAGGACAGGAAGAGGATCACTTGTCATTGCCTGTTACTTGCTGCTTGCAGCCTTCTGTCTGCCTGCTCTGCCGTGCCCCCTCAGCCATGCCACCCTGCCTTGGAGCCAGCCAACTATAAACTGAAGCCTCTACAAACTGTGAGCTACAACAAACCTTCCCTGAGCTGGGTAAGGTGGCATATCCCTGTAATCCCAACACTCAGGAGGCTGAGGCAGGAGGATCAGTGAGAATTCAAGACCAGCCTGGGCTACAAAGTGAGCTCAAGACCAGCCTGAACTGCACAGCGAGACTCTGTATCAAAAAGACAATAAATAAATAAATAAATAAATAATCTTTCTTTAACTTTAAAATAAATCTAATCTTTAACTTTGGGGGTTGGGTTTTTTTGTCTCAGCAATGAAAAAAGGAACTAAGACTATCCACCAAGAAATGGTCTTTGTGCTTCACTGGATTCACTCAACCCTCCCAAAACCCCAAAAGGCAGATGCAGGTAGAGAAAATGAGGCACAGGAGAGCATCAAGGTCTCCTATGTCACTCAGCCAGGAAATGCAAGCCTGATGCCCCTGCTTCCCGCATGGCGCACCGCTGGCCAGCCGCAGCCTCACCTCACGCAGCAGGCGCGCCTCCAGGAGCTCATGATAGGCCTTGGCAGACTCCTCAAAGCGATCATGTTTCTGTAGGTCCAGGGCCTTGTGGTATAAGGCGAAAGCCTCTGCTTCCTGCAAATCAAGAGACAAGACATTTTCACACAATACAAACATTTATCTTTTTTTAGGCAGACAGCAGTGCAGGTACCAGGTTCAATCCCCAGCATGCCGTGCAGGCCCTGCCCCTGGGGCACGCTGAGACAGGAATTAAGATTGGGCATGGTGGCACGTGCCTGTAATCCCAGCACTTGGCAGGCTGAAAACAGAAGAATTACTATGGGTCTGATCTACGTAGTGAGACCCTGTACTAAATACACTGACAAAAAAAAAAAAAAAAAGATTTATCTTTTTTAACCAAAAACATGCATAAGCAGAACCACAGTCCTAGCTATGTAATCACGGAAAGAAGCCTGACAAACACTCTAAGAAGACACAAGTGAGACAGGCATGAGTAGTGTCGTTGACTAACACAGGCAGATTCAGCTCATGCCAAAGTAATGAGCCCAGTGACCCATTTTGGGTGAAGCCAAAAAAGTAGCCACACAAGCTAGAATAACCCAGAGAAGCTGGGACTGTGTGTGGCAGTATATGAAGTACATATTTGACCCTTGTTCAAGGTTCCTGAGGTGGAGCTTCTAAAACCCTTAAAAGAATTTCCTGAAAATCACCATACACATTTGACGTCAGGAATGCTATGAATAAAAATAATTCAGCATCAACACAGTTTCCACTGCTTTGTTTTGTTTTCCTTAGTGCTAGACACTGAACCCAGCAACTCACACTTGCTAAGCATACACTCAAATCATGGAGCTCAGCACAGCCCTGTCCACTGCTTTCTACTCTCTGTCCTACTCTTATCATTGCCTGGGGAAGGTGACAACTGACTCCAACGCTCCCAATTTATCACACTAACATTACTGTTTGTTTGTTTGTTTGCTTGGTTTGGTTTTATGAGACAGGGCCTCACTATATATAGTAATGACTGTATATAGTAATGACTATATATAGTGAATTCATAGTGCCTTGAATTAACTATGTACCCAGGCTGGGATCAAACCTGCCTCCTGACTCAGCTTACTGAGTGATGGGATTATAGGCATGAGTAACCTATGCCTGGCTGTTCTAGCTAACATTCTTAAAGACCAGGGACTGCTGACTAGTAGCCTTTTTTCCTCCAGTACTGGAGATCAGGCTGTATGTGTAATCAACACATACTCTACCACTAAGCTACACCCTCTGCCTTTTTTGAAAATTTTTAAAGGGTCTTACTACATTGCCTACGTCAGCCTTCTGAGTAGCTGGGGTTATACACTTACACCACTGCACCTAGCTAACTAAACCTCTAAGAAACCTCAGGAACTGCCCCTAGTTTTTCCCATAAAAGGGAGAAAGGAGACATATGTTTATTTCAAGAAAAACAAAGACAGGGAAAAAAAAAAAAAGGACAAGTACAAACCCTTGTTACCCTAGGGTAGGGCATGGATGGAGAGATGAATGAATGGGTAGATGCAAGGAGGGAAAAAAAAAAGAGGGAGGTGAGAGGAAGGCAGACAAGCAGGCAGCAGGGTAGAAAGGAATGATCAAGAACTTAAAAGCTGGAGTTGGATCTGGCTCTCCCACTGCCCTGAAAAGAGATCCCAGGCACACCAGCTCTCCCCAAAGGTCTCAGAGCACTGGAAAATGAGAGTAATACACTAGGCAACTTCGAAGGACCATGTACCATAAATGTTCTGCCATGCTCTGGGCACACCAACACTGAGGACTACACAAAGGGTGAATTGAGTGGAAAGCTGGCCTCAACTAGGAAAATGGGCCCTTATACTCACAGAATATATATAATTTCTCTTTAGTTTGACTGTATCTGAAGAGAATCAGATTTAAATTATTTTATTTATTTATTTATTTATTTTGTGTGTGTGGCCAGCTCAGCCCACCAGGGGGCGGGCTGGCTGGCATGTGGTGCTGGGGGATTGAACTGAGGTCCCTGTGCTTTGCTTGGCTTAGCTTGTTCTAAGTAGGTGCTTTAGACCACTGAGCCATCTCACCAGCCCCTAGAGAAACAGATTTAACTTGAGATGGAAAGCTAGCTATTTTTTCAAAATGGAGTTTCACTGGGGGTGTAGCGCAATGGTAGAGTACTTGCCTAGCAGGCTTGTGGCCCTGGGTTCAATCACCAACAATGAAAAAAAAAGTTTCTCTCTAAAATCCATTAGGGAGATGTCCAAAAACATTTAAAATGAAGTCCTATCTATAGAAACTAAAAGCAAGGTCTTCCTGTAATACAGGAAGATACTGTATTACATACCTGAGCCTCCTTTGTTTGCGTTTTATGACTTTTAAAGGTTCCTTCATGATCATCTTCAATTGTGGAGCTCGCGTTTAAAGCTGCAATTCGAATCTAGAAATGAGTTTCAAGGAAAAGAAGTACTGCTGTCAGGTGAATCCAGCTCCAGTATACTGTCTATGCTACTGAAAAGCTACAGGAAAATAACCACAGATGACAGGAAAAAAGAGGGGCTAGAATGTGTCTGGGGGACCATGCCAACCTGCAGGAAACATGTCTTGGTGTCTCACTGGGAGGCTCCCTTGAGAGTCAGACAGCCCAAAAAAGAAACAGGACTATGGACTACATGAACTGTGGAATACACATCCTTACACTGTGGTTCCAAATAACAGGGAATATAATCCCTCTGTTTAGCAGTTTTTGTAGCCCCAACAACTGTACACTCATGGTGGTCCTTGGCTACATAATCTTCCATTGTGGCAGCCTTTCTCAGCTGCCTGGTCCACACTTATACCACAATACACAAAGGTGGCCTTGTGCCAGTAATGACCTTGGTATATAGTTACTTATATCAGCCAGCATTGACCATGGCTATATCAGTTATTTACAGTGAGACCAACAAGGCGCCTGCACCCAAATCTCGCTGACCTGGACTAATGTCCACCAGAAAGCACTCCCCTCCTTTACCCCCACAGCAACGTGGCATCATCTTGCACTTTCACGTTTCCCTACATGTGGGTAAAGTTCACTGCAAAAAGAACAGAGGCTGGAGACACCCCAGCAACACTCAACACTGTAGAAGGTCAAAGTACCAGAAAGTATAATAATGCCAATACATTGCTCACTATGTCTTGTCAGCAACTGCGAGGAGGCCCTACAAGCAACTTCAACAGCCCATCAAACATCTATCCCCTTCTCTATACCAACATCTCTCCTGGGAGCCTTCACCCCTGGAAGATTAAGGACCAAACAACACTTGGCACCAGCCACACAGGCAGGCCTCAGCACTTACCATATTGAGGGAGACTCAGCGCTGCCACAGAGCACCACCTTCCATCACAACAGAGGCTGTGCCAGTCCACACATCTCCTAGAAAGGAAACAGGACAGACTGGGAGAAGGCCCAGGAAGAACCAGGACTGTCACAGTGCCAGTGGCCCACCTGTTTCAGAAAAATAATGGAAAAAGACATAATTAGAGACACAAAAGACAGCAGGCCTAGCTACAAGGCAGAGAAATGAGGATCTCATACATTATTAACAGGAGTGTGGGCTGCCACATTTCATAGAAAACGACAGTTCTTCAAAATGCTAGCGAATTAGCATAGAGCAGGAAATTGTATTCCTATGTATCTACACCACAAACTAAAACATGTCCATATCAAAACTTGCTCATGAACATTCACAACAGTATTATTCATAATCACTAAGTCACAGAAAACACTCAAATGTCTGTTAATGGATGGATGGACAGATAAGAAGTCCTATATCCACATGAGTATTATTGGGCTATAAAAAAATAAAACTCTGAATCACTGTTACAAAATAGAAGAACACTTAAAAGTTATGCTAAGTCCAGACATGGTGGCGCATGCCTACAATCCAAGCAGGTGGGAGGCTGAGGCAAGAGGACTGCTGTGAGTTTGAGGGTACCCTGGGCTACAAAGTGAGTTCAAGGGCAGCCTGAACTGCATAGTAAAATCTTGTCTCAAAAAGACAAAAAGAAATGTTGTGCTTAATAAAAGATGCCATACACAAAAGTGCTCATAACATCTGATTCCAATTATAGGAAACGTTTAGAACAGGCAAAGGAGATGAGTGGGCTGAGGAAGAACCACCACTGGGCAGGGTTATGGCTTGAATATAGTTTGTTACCTCCAAAACTTGATGATGTCACTTGAAGATATAAGTGAAATAAACCAGATCACATGTGTAAATATCGTATTGTCTCCCTAGTATAAGAACTCAAAAGAGGAATTACATGCAGAAAGGTAGAACACAAATAAAAGGAAAGCGAGAACTTGAGGATTGGACAGTGAGGAGTAGGCCAGGAGAAAAGCTGAGAAACATGGCAGGGGCAAAGCCATGCATTTGTATGCACGAGATGGGTGGGGCAGTGGTCCTGCGGAACATCAGCAGGTTTTTGAGACTAGCGGTTGGCTGGTGAGATTCTCACCCTGACTAACTGTATACGCTGGTGCCTGTGAGCCAGGTGGCTGTACTGAGGATGGAGATGTGTAAGAGAGGGGTCACGCTTGGAGTGCCTGCCGTCCTGATCTTCTAAACATGTACTTCTTGTCATGACATACCATTTATTGCCATAATGTCTCTCAAGTAAATGTTTTTTTTTTTTTTAAAGGGCAATAAATGGAAAAAAAAAAAAAAAGACAAGAATAAGAAAAAAAACATGCCACAGGTCTGTCCTGTTACAATTCTGTACATGGTTAGATTTCTAAATTTCTTTGTAAAATTATGTAAATGCTTATTTCTACTTTTATGAAATTATTTTTCCTACATGTTCTGTAAGGTCTTAAAGTTCAGCATACCAATATTTGATGGAAAATACCTGTTCCATGATATGCCAAATATGTTTGATATTTAGACAGATAAGGTAAACCAAACTACATATATTGCAGGTTAATAACAAGCTTCTCTTCTGGAGGGTTAACAACCTAAGTTAGCAGTTCAAAATTGGAGAAAAGGAAGGGCTGCAAGGTCAGCCAACATTTTGGCCCCAGCCTTTCAAGGTCAGCAAAGACTCGGGACATAGGAGAACCTGTACTGTTACAACATGTAACTCAGTTGCGCTCCAAATTTTCTGATCAAGAAGATCATGGAGCTACAGAGGAATGTGATCGATGACGTATAGTATGCCTGGGGAAAGTCACATGGAGAGAAAAAACATTCTCTCAGGCTTACACAGAGAGCAAATTGGTCAAGCAATGGCTGTGACTCATCCTCATGGCTGACACTGACAAAGGATCTACAAAGTGCGGTACAGGGCTACGGGATAAATCCTGAGGGTACTTGACTGACCTTATCAGACAGAAAAGTTACATTTCTTGCTACATAGGTCTTGCTTTATCTTGGTCTTAACCATCCAGCAGAAAAGTATAAAAATAAGGTATATAAAGTAAAGCTATATTAATATGATGAGCTATAAAAGGCTCAAATCAGTAACTTCTGAGAATAAGCCACTAATATTATACACTGCTAGACAGTGTTGGATTGTTTAGCTGAATTCAAACAACTATAATATTTAGATGCCAATAGAATATTCACCTCTGACAGGACTAAACAAAAAAAAGGGGGATACAAAGGAAAGATCATTTCTATTTATATATACAAAATAGTTAGGATAGATATACAGCTACTTTCGCTTAATTCAACAAGAAAGAGGTGTACTAATAGTGTTTGAACAGGATATCCTGTCTGCTTCTTGTACTATGGATAACCACTAAGAAGATAACAATGTCCAATGTACTGATTATCGAAATTATCCTATTAATCAGCTTTGAAACTGTCTTATTCATATTTATTTCTCAATGAAATTTAAAAAAATACTTGATGAAAATAGGTTCCCAATGTAAGTGCTAAGAAGCAATGTTTTTTTTTTGTCTTTTTGAGACAGTGTCTCACTATGCAGTTCAGGCTGGTCTTGAGCTCACTTTGTAGCCCAGGCGAATCTTGAACACACAACTATCTTCCTGCCTCAGCCTCCCAAGTGCTGGAATTACAGGCGTGCACCACTACACCTGGCTTGGCAATGAGACTTTAACACTCCTTTCTCTCAAACTCACTAGGTATCTCAGGCCAGGATGACCTGAAACTTGCAATTTTCCCGTGTCAGCTTCCTGAGTGCTAGAATTAGAGCAAAGCACCACCACACCCCAGCTGAATTAATGCCTTTTCAGTGGGAGTGGGAATGAGCTTTTCCCTTCATTACTCGATGAGTTCCAGTAAGTTATTAAAAAGCAAAACCACTGCTCATGCTCTGACTCTCTGGCACACACCTGCTTGCCCTTTGACTTTCCAACATGAGATGAAGCAGCACAAAGCTCAACATGTGTGGCAGCCCAGTCTCCTGAAGTTAAGCCAAAATAAATTACCTTCCTTTAAGACAGTCTTAAAAAAAAAACAGAAAAGCAAGTCTTGGGCATTTTGTTATAGAAACAGAAAACAGAGTAAAGTAAAGGGTCTACTAACAGGCTTAAGGGTTCTCTCTGAGATATGAAAATGTTCTAAAACTGATTTTAGTGGTAGTAAACAACTGTTAAAACATGAAAAACTGTTTATATACTATAAAAAAGAGGACTATATAGGATGTGAACTGTATCTCAATAAAACTGCTATTTAAGAAAAGATACTGCAGGACTGGAGAGATAGCTCAACAGAATAAGTGCTTGCCTGGCAAGCTCAAGGTCCTGAGTTTAATCCCCAGTACCGCAAAAAAAAAAAAAAAATATATATATATATATATAAGATGCTGGGAGTCAGGCTGGAGCAGTGGAGCAAGGATAAAGGAAAGTACCGCCTGCAGTGTGGCCTGAGGGGCCAGGAAAAGGAAGAGGCACTGTAGATAATTTAGCGAGAACAGAAGCCACTAAAAGTGCCATCTGAGAGGTTGGCTGGTGAGAAGGACAGGAAAGGTCTGGCAGGTGGTGGAAAGGAAACTTAGCATTGGACTGAATTTTCTTTCTTTCTTTTTTTTTTTTTTTTTAGACAGGATCTTGCTATGTAGTTCTAACGGGCCTTCAACTCACCACGTAGCCCAGGCTGGCCTGGACCTCACAGTGATCCTCCTGTCTCAGCCTCCTCAGTGTAGGGATTATAGGCATCTGCCCCCATAGCTGGTCTCAATTTTTCTTAAGTAGAATGACCACCATACACACAGCACTTACAGCAACAACTTCTAGCACAATCTTTCACCACAGGCCCTGGAGTCTCCAAAGGCTCTTTTTTTTTTTTCTTTTTTCTTTCTTTTTTTTTTTTTTAGTACAAGGTCTTCAGGGTCTCACTATGTAGATATGACTCATAGTGATTCTCCTATTTTCAGCCTCCCAAATGCTGGGATTATAGGCAAGTGTGTCACCATGCCCATTCTCCATTGCCCAGGGGCAGGGCCAGCATGGGAAGCTGGGGATCAAACCACCCCAGAGCCTGCCTAGGCAGGCACTTTAATCCGCTGAGCTATCTGGCAAGCCCCTCCAAGGGCTCTTGCATGGCCTTTGTTCAGATGTACTCTGTTCATCTTTTTCACAGATAAGAGATCTAATCTTTCCCATACTGACAGCTACTCTACATCTGATAAAAAGAAAGAAGAATGCTACTGACTTAAAGTTGAAAAATAAAGCCAGGGGCTGGTGAGATGGCTCAGTGGTCTAAAGCACCTACTTAGAACAAGCTAAGCTAAGCAAAGCACAGGGACCACGGTTCAATCCCCCAGCACTACATGCCAGCCAGC